ACAACAATGATCTTTCTGTTTTCATTTCATAATCACACCAGACCAAACTTGGGTAAAGAACGAGGTTTCTCCTAATGTGTCAAACATGTTTGATGCCCTGATGCTCTTCTTGTTTTAACAATGTGGGCGTGCAGCGTGCGTGTTGAAAAGATCTGAGTTTTGGTTATTCATTGCTGTATATCGCCAAGAACATGCCTGACTGCAATGTGATCATTTTATGTTGTCTTAAAATACATTTATTTGTTACTTTGCGTTTTTATTACGCGTTCAATTTTTCTGGAACGTCGAGAATATCATCTACACCTCTGACTAAATAAAAGCACAAACTTTGTAATTCTCTTCTTTTAATGCCACCCTCACTTCATCCAGATGTGTTTCTTTCTTTCGTTTTCCGGCGTTCTCATGGTGGGCAGGTGGGCAGGTGCTTGAGGGCGCCCCGCCCCGTCCCGGTGTTCAGTGCAGACCACCCCTACGCCCTTAAATTGGTCACGCGCCATCTCTTTCTTCACCGACTGCTCGTCGAGCGGGCCCATCCGGTTCCTCATAATCGCTTTGTCCTCCCATTATCACCTTCTTTGCCATGCGCGGGACGCGTGACATTTTGAGCATGACGCACGAACGCATGGACCGAGAGCGACAACAAATGGAAATTCAAGAGCAACTAAGACCGTTCTGGTGATCCACGGCGGGGCACATGACGCAATGGCCAGCATGGTGATCACGGGCCTGCACGCTGCTTTGGGCTCGTTTGGTTGGGTAAGCGTGGAGGCGGCGCTTCAGCGGCCCAGTGACACGAACTCGTCGCAAGCTACTCTTTGACCTGGTACCGACGTCAAAAGTACACTTTTCGAGCAGTTTTGTGGGTGTTTTCAGTTTCCCTTTACGTTAAAGATACTTCCTTTAAAGGGACGCGACAGAGTGGTTGCTTGTAGATTGCAGCATGCACGAGTAGGTGCGGGTGGTGCGAGTTTCCAGGAGGGTGATTAGAGAACCTCCCTGGATTGTTTGACTTTCACGGCCAATCTTAATAGCTGTCCCCAAAATGTTATTGTCGTGATTACGTTGTTTTTGCATTCGAAACACAACAGTTTTGGGGACAGTAGCCTATCCGAGATTGTCTTTAGAAGTCGAACCATCCGGGAAGCTCTCAGATCACGCTACAGCGGGGAGCTTAGGGATCATCCAGGAAGTGAATTCGTCATTCGCCGTAAGTTCAGGTTCTGCGAGCTCTCGTAGCGCCTAGTAGGTAGGCAATAGCATGTATGCATTGCATGCGTGTACCGCGGGCTGGCCTAACCCGAGACTCGCAGGCGCTGAGCTGCTCCCGTGATTTGCCGCGTAAATCTTAGAAAATCGGACGTGCTTTCTGGACGATCCTTAATTGCATCTTTCCGCAAATTCACTGCGCTCTGTCGATTTCGATCAAACTTTGCACAGTCAGGCGGTTGATGTTACCGCGCCCTTTCTCTTCTTGCAGGCTTCGCCATGGTCGCCTTCTCCGCCCCCATAGCGCGGCCGCCGCTCGTCTTCGCGGCCGACCACCCGTTCGCACTCCGATTGCACTCGCGACCAGTTACCTTATTCATCGGCAGCGTCAGCTCCCCGTCACCAGCCTAGTTTGAATCTAGAACGTGATATTTTTAAGAAAAATAAAATATGGACTTTGCAGTTGTAAATAACACTGTGTCAGCCAATAAATTTCGTCGTTCTGACTAGAATTCTTCCCTTGATTGTGCACGTACGCACGTACTATCGATCTCCTTAAAAATCTACTAGCAAGAGGAAAGGCCAAGTGAACCATTGAACAATCGTACAATTGAATTAATTACACAGTGTAGAGAACAAATCACTGAAGCCACAAATGACTGTGCAGAGTTTTATCAAACATCGACAGCGGCAGATAATCCATTTTATCGCAAAAGTAATGCTCTATTTACTTCCGAACAGTGTAGTAGAGTGAGAGTGAGTGACATGCACTTGTGCTCCTGCAGGAGCCCACGTCCTCATGATGGCTCTCGTCCAGCACGAGGTTTACCCAGAAGATTTCGATGTCCGCTGGCCCTTCCTCGGCGTGCTGCGCCACCGCAACTCCAGCGCCGCCCTCGGCGCCGGCCTAGCGATAGCCGTAGCCAAGGTCGCCGACCCCCGGTCCTGACGGCCCACACCCCCCAGTCGGAGTGAACGACGTGTCGAAACGGTTCGACGTTAGTCGATGACGTCATCGCGTTCCTCGACCGCCGCTTATCTCCCTGCGGGTCTCTCTCTCTCTCTCTCTCTCTCTCTCTCTCTCTCTCTCTCTCTCTCTCTCTCTCCCCCCTCCGAGGAGAGCGCCTCGCTTTTGTCTTCTCG